GGGGTGATAAACTAGCTCAAAAATAACTATTCAAATTTGGTTGTTTAAAATTTTAAAAGACCTTAAATGAGCTTTCTTCGAATTAAACATGAGTAGTTGAGATTTTTTATATAGTTTTACACTTTTATAACTAAGTCGAACGAATAATTGTTTATTTAAATTTGATTTAAAAATTTTAATAAAATTCTAAATATTATTAAATTAATTAATTTATTTAACAATTGAATTTAACAAATTTTAACGAGACAAAGATGAACCAAGCTCAAAGTATTTGGTTTGTTTGTGACTGTTCCATCTAAATAACATTAAAGGCCGAGATTGGAAAAAAAGTTTTAGGTTAAAATAATTAATAAAAATAAAATCTGTTAAGACAGTCAAAAAAAATAAAATAAAGTATTATATTTAAATTATAATTATTATTATTATTTTTTTACAATCATCAAATTAATCAAAAAAAGTAATTTCCTTTCTAAATATATATACTTTTTTAACTAAATTAAAAAATTAAAAAAACACACCCCAAATGAGTCAAAAGTGAATGGGGCAAGGCAATCTAGTGATTCGTCAGCGCTGACGCTTGTTGTGGGGATCGGCGTTTAATGGGGCCGTACATTTGCGGCAGGATGAGACAAGAAGAGAGTACTTGTGCTGTGCTGTGCTGTGCGGTGCTGTGGGGGGACCTAGGAAACGGACAAAAGGATGGGCGGCGGACAGTGGGAGGGACACACACGTGAGTCCGTGTGGTTGCGATCGAGTAAGCAGTCAGTCAGTCCGTATCTGGTCCGCGTTACTATGATCTGATTTTTGTGGTGTTCGGATTTGCGATCGAGAAACCAACAACACGACAATCGCCTCATCTCTCGTACACGACAATCGCCTCATCATTAAACCTTATCCGTACGCGTCACCGTGCCTTACCCCGTACAATCGCCTCATCTCTGTTATGTTTTTAAAAAGTTGATTAAAAATTAATTTTTTAATTTTATAAATATATTTTTTAAAAAATAATATAATTTAAAATACATTAAAAATTAATTTTAACTTTTAACAATTCTCAAATTAAGGTCTCGTTTGGGAATAAGTTATTTTAATAATTTTTTTTATTTTTTAACTAAAATATGATGTAAAAAAATTATGTTTGAGATATTTTTTATTTTTTTTTCAAAAAAATATACAAAAAGTAGAGAAAAAATAGGACTTTGATTTTTTGGTATAACTTTTTGGCTTTATAATTTTTTTAATAACTTTTTGACTTTTTAATTAAAATCACTACTTACCAAACGAGGCCTAAGTCTCTGTCCTAGCTTACGTTCGACTAACAATAGTGTGTTTATTTGATAAGATTAGTTAATGGAGTTTTTTTTTTAGATCTTATTTTAATGATTTAAACGATTAAATTTTATAGAAGATATTAAGTAAAATATATTTGAAAAAATTTAAATTAATTGGATATCAATATCATTTCATCAAGATATATGTGTATCTAAAAATTTGAATGATAAATTTAATTTTAAGTATAAATCTGAATACAAATATGACTCGATAAAGGTGTGGTTTGAAAAGTGGGTTGGTTTTTTTATTTTTTGGCTATTTTAGCCTTGGGTGAAAAAAAACCTGATTTAGGAAGGATTTTTGACTTTTTTGTGAGAGAAATAATATAATGATTATGAATTGGATGTGATGTTTTGTTGGGTTAAAAAACTTATTTTGTTTTTTTTGACTATTTTAATCAAAAAAATTCTCAAACCCAACTTCCCAAACCATGGCAAAGGGATATTGATATGCGACTAACTTGAATTTTTAAAAGTATGTTGTAGTTGATATTTTCTAAAATATGAATGGTTCAAAACCTTGAAATGAGACCCCCCAAAAACTCCATTGATTGCAAAATAGTGACCGTTGCACAGCTTCTCTAAACTCTTATATAATGAATTTGAATAAAAACTTATAAATAAATAAGAGACAAATGGTAACTTAGGCGTTATTTAGAATGATTTAAATAAATATATTTTTTGATTTTTTACGAAAAGATATATAACATATAAAGATGTGATATAATCTAAACATATGAGTGTGCCTAACATGTTATTATTTTTGTGTAGTGTTGCACCAAAAAGATTAAACAAAATTCAATCTTACCTAATGTAACCTAAGCTCGTTGATAACGTTGTAATTTCCTATTTTCTTATTTTTGTCTCCAAATTTTTGAAAATATATAATGAAATATATTTTGGTAATTATTTATGTTAAAAAATATTAGCTATAATTTTCACACTTTTGGAAAGAAGTTTCCCCCATTCCAAGGTTTTGAAAATCGGACCGGACTGGCCGATTCAACCGGTTGAACCGTCGACCGGGTGAGGTTCCGGTCCAGTCAACCCTTTCAAACCGTTCAAAGTCAAAAACCGGTGTATTTAAAGAGAACCGTTTGAACCGCCGGTTGAATCGCCGAATCGTCCGACCCGTTCACGGGTCAATCAAACTGGAACGGTTTTGTTTTTTTGTTTTTTTTTAAAAAAAAAACCTAAATCTATCTCGTTTCTCTTCAGTTGCAGCAGATCTTCTTCAGCAAAACCTTGCACAGCCGCATCTCTCTCTCTTTATCAATCATCATCACCATTAACGAATCACTCAACTCGGCTCAAGCTCTCAGCTCTTCTTGCAATAAAGAAGAAGACACCCACAGTCCAAATCCATTGTAGACAATCAATCTTCTTGAACAATACAAATCTTGCGAGTCTCGATCTGGGTCTTTGATCAAATGGGTTTCATTAATTCTTGCTGGTGCTTGTCGTTGAATGAAGAAAATCTCTCTCTCTCTCTCTCTTGAATGAAAGACCACTATCAAGAGAACCCATTTTAGAGAACCCATCGTTTTGGCCCTCTGTTTTGAGGCTGAGCAATGGGGTTTTCACCTTTATGAAAATTGAGAATGAGATAAGAGAGAGTGTAAGTGGGGCCTTTTTTTTATTTTTTTTGAGTAATGGGTTTTTCTTTTCTTTTTTTTTTTTTAATTTTATTTGTTGTTAGCATGAGTACTATGACTTATATCTAGAATGCTTTTTTTTTTCTTTTTTAAGAAAAACATAACTGAAAAATATTTAAGATTTTTTAAAAAATTGAAAATTTATTATATATTATTAATTTATATTCTAAAAAAAATTATTTATGACGTAATTATGACGTCACGGTTCGATTCGGTTCAACCCGACGGTTGAACCAGTGACCCGTCCGCCCAATCCCTTTTCCGGTTCAATCACCGGTCCAGTTTCTAAAACATTGACCCATTCCACTTCCGATATTTCCTACAACTATCTCTCCTTTAGCTCTTCTCTCCGACATTTTCCCTCCCCCAAAACTTCCTCAAAAGCAAATAACTTACATTTGGACAATCAAACAAAATATTTTTAAAATTTTATCTTCGAAAAACTTCCTCAAAAGCAAATGACTTACTTTTGGACAATCAAACATGTGGATGAAAACATCGGGAAATGACGTTTGTGTTGTACCTTATAGGCATAGTATTGTATTGTGAGTCCGTGCATGCATGCTTTAAAATTATTTTAATAATTCGAACTGTTCATCATATAAAGTTCGTTGTGTAGATCATTCATGAAAAAATTTAATTTAATTAGGCATTTGTAATCCACAACAAAATCACATTTATGTTTAGAAATATAAATGGTTAACACGATTTTTATAATTTTTTAAGATTATTATTCGACTTGATCATGGGGTTATACTTGTTTGATTAATTTTATTTTTTCATATGGGTAATATACTCAACGAATCTTGTAGTATAAATGATTCAGATTATCAAAATATGATCAGAATAAATATCACGGGGTGCTATCAGAACTAGGGCTACAAATGAGCTGAGCCGAACTTTGTTGAGCTCGAGCTCAGCTTATTTATTGAGATTGAGCTTGACTCGTTTATATTAATGAAACTCGAGTTCGGCTCGACTTGATAAGATTTTTTAAATTATTATTAATATTATTTAAAATATAAATAGTGTATTTATACTATTATTTATATATATTTATATGTTGTTTAATATATAAATAATATATTTATTATATAATTTAAATAAACATAAATCAATCAACCCCTTAGCTAGTTGAGCTAAGCCTATTTGTGAATAGATTGGTTTATAACCCTAGTCATAACATCCACCCCCAATCCCAAAACATTTTTTTAATTTTTATTTAAAAAAAATATTTCCTATTATATATTGTCACCAAAAAAAAAAAAGATAACGAAAAACATATTGAAGCCTTTTCCAGTCAACTGGCTGGTTGATTCTAAGTTTGTTTCAGTTATCTAGCCACAACTTTAAAACACTTTTTGTGAACACATTTTTTGTTGTCCGTAATAGGGGTGTACACGATGCGGTTCAGGTGGTTTGAAAGTAAAATTATAAATTTAATGACAGATCGGCTGATTAACAAATTACTGTTTGAGCAATTTTAGGCGGATTGGAGGGTGGAAAAATATTCTAACCAATTATCAAATCTTTGCATAATATATAACACTAACTTACATAATATTTTTCATATATATAACATGAACTAATTTGACATAATATATTATATATATATAACCACTAATTTGTAATAAATTTCACATTTTAAATCTGTCTTGCACTTATTTTTACTTTGATATTTCATTATAAGTTACAAAAAATTATATATATATATATATTAATTATAACAAAGTAGAGCTGTTTTGAAGGCGAATTATAAATTTTAAAGTTTAAACCATGGTTAAAGAATAGAGTGGTATGAATTGATGTAGATCGATACGATTTTAGCGGATTTGATGGTATTTTGCACCGCCCTAATCGGTAACATTTATGAAAATAAAAGCCAATGGGCCCTAACTATGACCGGAAAATGAAGAGTATTTGTCACAACAAACTCTAATGGGCCAGTTGATCTTACTGGGCCCCTGTACATTTTTTTGGGCTCTACGTTTTAAGCCACCCCTCAAATCAACCAACCCAGTCAGTAGCAAAAAAACCGTACAGCTTTCCAACAATCAAATACCAATGGCAATGGCGAACTAGGGCACAGAAATCAGCGAAGAAATCAGGCCTAGGGTTAGGGTTTCCAATACCAGCTTCAATGTCTAGTTACGACGACGATGGCGATCGGTATTCCAGCAGAGGAGGTGATCGTGGTCATGGAGGATCGTCACCGTATCGTCACAAGGTTGTTTTTATTTGGGTCTTTCTTTTGCTCATTGAATGATTAGAAGTATAATTAGCAAATTTGAATTCGGTCGCACGTGTTGATAATTGCTACTCATTGGTGGATATTGATTGTATAGATCATGGCAATACCGAATTAATGGGTTTGTGATACTGGAATTTTATTCATTGAATTGATAACATTCAGGGATACATATAATCTACCAAAGTTTTAGTTTGTGAAATGAGAATTAGAAGCTGACACTGTTTGTCAAATGGGTTTGTGAGAATAATTAAGATGAGTGGGGGGATGTGGATCTGAATTAATGCTTTCTCATTGCTTGTTACACTTTCAAAAGGGAAAATTTCATCTTCAAATTATCAAATAATTAAATCAATTTTGGCTTAGGAGTTAATGAATGTACGACATTTCTCATGTACAAGTTGGTTTTGAAGATGTAGGAGAAGGCTGTCTTTTTGGTTGCTTAGCTGTAAAAATATACCGTGTAGAATCTCACTATTTGTACTATGCATTGGATAGATGAACTCCAATGGCATGTGAAACCACAAATTTATTCAATTAAATAGAGCCATCTAGGCAAACGGACCATTGTCTCCTGTGCTTGTTGAAAGGTTTGGAACACTCATTTGATAAAATGAAAAACCCATCACTATATACAAGCTACTTATAGACTCATTGGGATTTTTTTTGCAAATACGAGTCGTCTTTCTAAATGCGATGCAAAGTAAAAAAACATTTACTGGTCAATTATTGTGATGATTACATAGTATGTGTGGGATAGAGACTACATGTACCCGGGGCTTAGTCGAGGTGAAGCCTGGACACCCTTGTGATTAAAAAAAGAAACAAAATCAAGTTGTTGTTTGTGCTAAATGATAATGATATTTATGATGTTAGTTTATTTTAAATTTTACCCTTAATTTAATTCCCACTTGCAACCCATCTTTCAATTTTTGGTTATCTCCCCTTATGTAGTGTATATCTTAATTTATATTGTTCTTGTGCCCTATTCGGAAAGCACTTTTTTAGCAACTTTTTTGTTTTGTTAGACCAAAATTCAAATCTTCTTTGACAATATTTTTTAGGTGACAAACACAAGCCCTATATAAGCTTAGTTTTTTTAGTTGTTTTTTCAGATATAAAAGCCAGCAAAAAAAGAAGTTTTTTTTTAATAGTTTACCAACTCGTTTTCCAGCAAATTTTTTTCTGCCGCCAAAAGCAAAAATGCTCCTAGAAAAGCATTTCCCAAAAGCTCATTTAATTTATAGTTTATTTTTTAAGTTTTTTCCTCCCTTTTCTGGTAGGCCTTGATTATGTATGCAAGCTAATGACTGACTGTTAATGGATTGCAGCACAAATCTCGTGAATCAACCCATGAGAGGTCGAGGGAAAAAGAATGGAACCGGGACCGTTATTCCGGGGACTACAAAGAGAGAAATGAGAGGGACAATAGGGGAAGGCACAAAAATAGTTATGGTCGTTCCATGAATCGCGATTATGAAAGGTTGAGATAGGAAATTATTGGTTTCTTCATTGCTATTTTTTATTTTTTTTCATAGTTTGTTATTGCTTTAGAGACATGAGTTTCAGTCTGTGGCATTTTGTGGTCAAAATTGTATGCCGCTTTTTCTACATGATTACAGGTGATTAGGAACTGAAGATACATACATATTTGTTTCTTGATGACACTTGTGATTTGGGTTATATGTTACTTGCAAATATCTGCACCACATTTTTCACTCTTGTCTTGGATGTCGTGTAATAGTAGTTATTTTTGCAGGCATCGTGATTATGATCAAGATAGAGAGAGGCATCATAGACATAGATCACGTTCCCGATCAAGTGAAAAATTTAGGAAGAGATCTAGATCTAGATCTCGTTCTCGTTCTCGTTCTCGTTCACGCTCTCCTTCCAAAAGGTCTTTAATAGCTTGAATTAAGCTTTTATTTATGATCTCTTTGCCGATGACACATTTTTAAAGCTTAGAATGTTCCATTATGAATTGACTATGTATATGCCTTGCATACATTAATTGAAAAACATATAGTCCTACAAAAGGTACACTGTGCACTGTTTATGGATCTTACATTATTTTCTCAATGCACAAAATAATGGTAGTTTGAGATAAACTGCTGGTGATTTTGTGTTTGTTCATTGACAAATTTGATTACCCTTTGGATTGTTGACATTCTTCGCATAGTCTGGCATTACCTTTCATCTTTCTAGAAAGCATCAATTGTTGACATTTTTTTGCATGAATTAGAGTTACCTTATAGCTTTTCTGAAAATCTTCTGATGTGAGAGTGGCTCTGTTCAATAGGTGATTATCCTTACCAGATGATGTTATCATGTATGAGGTTTTGTGCGTGCTAAGCTCAATATCAGTTTGTTGTCTTGTTTCACCTGTCTTTTGCTTTGCTTACGTCTCTTTTCTTGTAAGCAATCGCATATCATTAATTCCAACTTTTCATTATATTAGTTCTGTTAAATCCCCACTGTGTAGTCCGAAAAACTAAAAAGAAAGAAAGAAGGAAAGAAGGAAAGAAGAAAAATAGGAAATAAAGAAAGAAGAAGACAGTTTGTCATTTGAAAAAAAGTTATCGGAAAGTTGTGCTGTTTTTATCTTGGTTTTGAAGTTGTTTAATTTGATTGTGACTTGTTGCATATGTATGTTCTACAGCAAGCGAACGAGTGGTTTTGACATGGCACCACCTGTTCCTTCCTTCTTGCCTGGTGGTGCAGTCCCAGGTTAGCCATTTAGCAATCTGATATACAAGCAGTTTCCACTACTTTTTAGTTGTGTAACATCATTACATTAGAGGATTATATGATTTATTTTGCTGTTTGCATATTTGTATCCTCTTTTTTAATCTAAGTCTTTATTCTTTATTACCAAAACTGAGAACCATTGTTGTGTTGTTGGCTGTTGTGTGTGGTTGTTTGTTGTCTTTTTGTTTATCATATGGGTAAGAAGGCAATGTTGGGCTACATGTCCCACTGTGCTACCCATGGACGTGACACCACTGTAGATTTTATGTGCAACGAGGAACCAATGCACCGAATAGCTGGATCTTGTTCGCTTTCAACCGGCAACTCTTGTATTTGGTAGATTTACGAATATTTCTCCAGCCATATGCATTGATGAAATTAATTTCTTACTATATTACCTGAATGATAGATAATATTAGGTATGAAATAGATTTTTTTATTTTTTATTTATTTCTAATGTATTTGTGATATGATGATATAGATGGTTTTAGGTTTCTGATGTGTTGCTTCTTGATACATAGTAGCAACACATTGTAATATTTCTGCTGTTTGATGGTTCATGCCATATTTACTTGTTTTATTTTTGTTCTTAATTATGCAGGTCAATTGCTAGGTGTCCCTCAAACAATGCCAGGAATGCTCCAAAACATGCTTCCTTTTGGGACAACACAGGTGGTAGTGTTTATGAACATTAGTTCTTGGCTACCTATGAAGCATGGACAAAGACAAACATGGGATACGGGCACGGCAGGGATAAGATAAATTTTTGTTTATTTGCTATGTATATGAATATTAGATCCATAAACAACCAAAATTAATGAAAACTAGCACTAATTTAACATGAAATTTACTAAATTTAAATCATCCAAAGACTTTACATTGAGGCTTCAAAGATCGTTAGAAGCCAGTCTCTCAACTTGAGAATTATGGTTAGATTTGTGTTGTGTTGTTGAGTGTTTGATATGAATTATATATATGTATATATATTTTAAGTTCAACCCTAATGTTTTTAAATATTATAATATGACCATCGAAATTAGTTTTGGAAAATGAAAATAAGAACCCATCGTGTCCCGCCATGTGCCTTGACAAAGATTATTAAAAAAATGGACAGAGTTTGTGGCTTGTTGGACTTGTGTCCCTGCCATGCTCATGTTCCATATGTGTGACACAACTATGACCCCTATTTTGAAATGTCAATGCTTCATATTTGGCTACTTTTGTAACTTCTTTCAAATTTAATTCTTATGTTAGTAACTCGAGTAGATTTGTATAGGTTAATCAACTGGGAGCTCTTTCCATGATGCCATTCCAAGCCATGACTCAACAGGTAGATATACGGTGTTGCATTTATTTTATGTTTTTTTTATTTAATTTATAAACATGCCTAATTTATTCTATGTTCTTTCGAAATGATGGATTTTTCTACCTCCTTTCTATAGGCAACAAGGCATGCACGCCGAGTTTATGTTGGCGGTCTCCCTCCTCTAGCAAATGAGCAGGTTTATTGTTAGTGAAATTAGGGTTATTAATTATCTACTATTGGTTCTACCCCTCAGGGGTTACTGCTTACAAAATTTGCCATGTTTGACATTATTGACGTAATATTAGGTGACAATTTCCATATTATTTTTTCTTTGTTTTTCCTCTTATTATTTTGTAGTTGTGATGTTCCTATCAAATTTGATGCTGCATATTTTGTCTTTCCTATACTCTTTGTTTGGTTCATGGATTTCACAAGGAAAACATAAAAGGAAATGCCACAAAAATAATTATCCTTTTTTAGTTACCATGGAAAACCATGGAAAACAATGAGGGCAAGATAATGGTGTTGTTTGGTGTAGCTTATAGAGCTTCGTATACTTTTTTTTATTTTATATTTTAGGAGTCTGTATCAGTCTGTTTGGTGTAAGTTTTGCTTATAGCCATGGTTATCAAAATTGCAATCCGGATCGTAGGATCCTACAATCCTACATTGCTAAAACGATTTAGATTGTTGTAGGATCGATGTTATAACAGGATCGCAAGTAGGATCGTATGCGATCGTGTAGGATTGTAGATTTTTAATTTTTAATATATATCATTCTAATTTGTATTTTATCTTTTTTAGTAGAAACTAGAAAGTATGATCTTACAATCCTCGATCTGATCCACGAGACTCTTTCACCGATCCTACCTAGGCTCCCGATTTTAACAACCTTGCTTATAGCTTATGAGGCAAAAATAGCTTAATAAACTGAAAAAAAGATGATTATCTAGAAGTTAGGGGAAGGTTGTGTTTTTGATAAGGAAAAAGAAATTTGTTTCCTTGTACAATTGTAACATAGCTTGACATTGCTGGGTTTACAAATTGTTTTGAGTTTGTTCTTTGTTAGTGCTTCAGTCCAAGTGAACATGTATTATACTATGTTGTATTTAATTCGAATTTGAACGCTTACCTACTTGAAAACGTAGTCAATCGTAAACACCGTGAAGCTTGTTGTTAATGTGGCACTAGTACGGGAGAAGGAGAAGAAAAGAAGAGATATAAGTGGAAAAAAAAGAAGGATGGAAAAGGAGAAAAAGGGGGTGCACAATCCCAAATCTACATCAATTTTTCAGTAATCAATCAATGCCAAATCTAAGAGCTTGTTACACAAAATCCATGTAATATGTACGCAACCCAAAGAAATAAAATTCAACTAGGAACTAATCAAACTAAAATCCAATAAGGAAACAAATATAAACTAAGGAATAAAGTCTTGTAACTACTAGTCGTTTGTTTGGAATGTTTATTTGTGTTGTGATGTTCAAGATTGGGAGCTGGATGGATCAGTTGTTGGATCTTTTGGGATTTTTGCATGGAGTGCATTTTGGGGGGTTTGGTGTGGGATGGGCCGAGGTCTAAAGGGATTTTTTCAGTGTCTTTGTTCTATGGCGTGCTTGCGGGTGGTGATGATGTGGGGTCTCCATCCAAGGTAGCTTTCTTTGTTTGGACAGTAGCCTTAGGGCACATTTTGACTATAGACAATTTAATTCGTCATCTGCATGTTATGGTTAATTGGTGCTGTTTGAGTTGTGCAGATGCGAAATCAGTGGATCACTTGCTTATTCACAGTCCGGTTGCATCTCGGCTTTGGATGTTGGTTGCGACTTTTGGTTTGGTGTGGGTGCAACTGGGCTCAGTTTGGATGTGTTGCAAAGTTGGGGAGGGGGTAGGGTTGGGAAGAGGCATCGAAGGGCTTAAATGCTTGCTTCCCATTGTTTATTGTGGTTGGTTTTGTTGGAGCATAATAGGCATGTTTTTTAGGGTGTGGTTCATTTAGTTCCTTGGTTAGAGAGTCGGCTTCTTATGATGTTGCATAGTTGGGTTATGGGTTCGGTTGATCCTGATGTTTTGCCTTTTGTAGATTTTGTTGAGGATTTGATTAGTTAGTTGTGTTGGGCCCTTTGTGGCTTTATTTTTGTATTCTTTTTCATCGCCTTGATGCTTTTCAAATAAAGTTTGATTATTTTTCCCCCCCCCCCAAAAAAAAAGTGTTAACAAATTCAACTTCCTATATAAATTAATTTTTTTTTTTTACTTATAATTTTTATTGTCCTCAACCAAAGCCTAGTCATTCTTCATCAGTTTGCTATGTGCATTATGTGTTAAGTATATAGGGAGGCATCAAAAAAACATTATGCTATCCTTATAACTGTTTAATGGACACTACTTTCAATTTCCCACAAAAGCAAGATCCACCTTTTATCTGCAAACTGTTTTTTTTTTTTTTTTTTTTAAATTTCTTTTTCTTGAATGGTAGATTACTCTTACGGGCTAACAGTACCTGATGATTTCTTGATAATCTGAACAAAACTGAAGTTGACATGGAATCTATTGTCTCAAATAAAAATTGTGTGCTAGTTTCTCTTGCTTGGATTCTGATTTGCTTTTGAAAGCTACACTAAGCTGATGTTATACTTCTACTTCAGGCACATGTCATAGCTATAATTAACATGCCAATTGTTCCATGTTTTGAAGAATTTAGGTTCATTCAGTCACTGTATGGGCTTACTCTAGAATCATGAAGTATATGTAGTTCTTGTTTTCTGCTGTTCCATGACTTGCTGTTTTTTGTTACATATGTTTATGATTTTTGAATTATCATGCTTTTAAGGGTGCTTTTCTTCATTTTCTTTTCTTCTCTTTTTTGACCCTTGTATTTTTCAAGCAGACAATTGCAACATTTTTTAGCAGTGTTATGGCTACTATAGGAGGAAATTCTGCTGGTACAGGTCAGTTTGGTTCATCAACTTAAGATATGGTAACAAATGTCTTTCCATTTTTTTATAAGTAAATATATTATTTAAAAAATAGCACCAAAGGGTGCTATCCTCTACACTACAAGGGAAAATAAAAATAAATTGACGGGTCCACACAACCTGAGAACTTATACAAAATAGACATATATCTACTCTTGAAGGTGGGTTGCTCTTTTAATATGATAATGGGATTTTCCTGGCATTCAAAGTCCTTCGATTACACTCCCACTAACTGATCCACTTGAAGGCCAAAACCATCAACCGATTGTCAGATTCTCCATCTTACATATGCATACATCACCAGTTCACATGAAGCTGCCTTCTAATGAGATTGTCAATGGTATGGATCTTGCCACGAGCAACAGGAAAAAAAAAGAGCTACCTTGGAAGGAGCCTTAGACAACCAAATTCTCTTCTACGGAAAAGTTCCCCCATGCCCCACCAAGGCATTGTAGTTAGATTTTACCTACAATCTATCAGACTCAAATATCAACCAGAGCAACTCTCTTTCCACACTAGGCAAAACATAAAGAAAACTCATTTATCAAAAATAAATAAATAAATAAATAAAACTCAAAAGTTCCACCAAGTGTTCCATCTCCCAATCGTTCAACTCATGTCTGCAGGCAATATCCCAAAAAAGGGTACTTTCTTCCAATCTCGAATTTTTTCTGACAACAGCTCATTTATAAACCACAATCCTAAAAGGAGATGGATAGAACTTCTCAACCTCTCCTCCCCGCACCAAATATGGCTTTAGAATCTCACGCTCACACTCTTTGCAAAGAATTACACCCTTTTGCAGCAATGATAAGATGTTTCACCAACTAAAACTATGTTAAGGTCTTCCCATTTTCCTCCTGTGTCACTGATTTTCTTACAGATCATAAGGCATTAATCTATATTTAACTGCAGGTGATGCAGTTGTCAATGTGTACATTAATCATGAAAAGAAGTTTGCATTTGTGGAGATGAGAACTGTTGAAGAAGCAAGTAATGCAATGGCGTTGGATGGTATTGTATTTGAGGTATGCTAAATTCCAACTCTCTCTCTCTCTCTCTCATTGATATGCACTCACATTAGCCAATTGCCTTGAAAATGTGATTAAAGAAAATAGAGATAAATGAAATATACACATTGATGGCAAAACTTCCATAAGTATTCTATGTTCTCCATTCTTACATAACATAAATATAACAACTATATCAATAGTGGAATGGCAAGTGTTATAACTATAATATATTTTTGTGATCATTGTTAAGACTGTTTGGCTTCTATTATTACCAAACTTTGTTATTTCAATTGAATTATGGCCCTACTCAAATAGGAAGTTTGATAGTAAGCAACAGTCATTATTGACTTGAAGTTTAGTTTCTGGGTTGAATGGAGGGAAAGTTCTTATCCGCTGGATACACTCTGTATGAAGGTCATTTCATTGACTTTGAATGATGACACTGTTCACATATTTTGCTTAGCTTAAAATTTATCTTATAGAACATCGAACTTGATGAATGGAATATTAGTTACTCAATGGTTGATTTGAGCTTTGTATATCACTAGTGGTTTTCTGTCTGACTTGTCTCCTTTTCAATCTTTATAGGGGGTGTCTGTGAGGGTTCGAAGACCTACAGACTACAACCCTACATTAGCTGCAGCACTTGGTCCTAGCCAAGCAAACCCTCACCTTAACTTAGCTGCTGTTGGACTTGTACCTGGGTAAGTTAGTATATTTATCTATTTTCCCTTCACTATTGTCACATGATTCAATTCACTAAGGTAATTAGTGGGAACTTGGATTTTGTGTTTGATTTGTTAAGGAATTCACAGGATTCAGGAGTTATACTAGGATGCTATTTCTTAGTTTTTATTTATTTATTTATTTCTTAACAAAACATGAAGTTTATATTACGGGGAAGAGAATTCCGTGAGGATGAGTGAAGTAATGAGAAACTCGGACCTGAATAATGCAATCTTTCCTAGGCCTGAAAGATTAAAGAAGAAAAGTAGGATATCACTCCCAGCAAAGTCATATGCTTTTTACCTGAGTAATTAGGAATCTATGTAAAGAACCAATTGGGTTGTTAGAGAAGAGCTATTTACCCATTGAAGGATTGGAATAGGTCCATGGAGATCCCTGCTGCTGCTGACATTCAAAACCTGGAGTCTAGAGGCAATTAAGCGAAGGGATATCATATCATCTAGGGGGTCCCATACCTATACAATTGAAACCAAAAAACCTTCACTGGGGATATCTGTTGTCTTTTAATCTTTCTAAAAACAAACTTTTGCTTAACGCCGAATGTCGTACCTTTTGAGTGGTGATTATTTATTTATTTATTTATTTATTAACCAAAATCTGAATTATCATTACTCTTATTTTAGACGTGGACTATGATTTATCATTTACTCTCATTTTATAATTTTTACAGTTTAAGTTAGTCGTTTATTTATTTTGATTCTGGAATGCTGGACTTTGGATGGATTTGTAGCATGGTTGGCGGAGTTGAGGGACCTGATCGTATCTTTGTTGGTGGCTTGCCATACTACTTTACTGAAGCACAGATACGAGAATTGCTGGAGTCATTTGGGTATGGTCTTCAATCTGACATTTTTCATTTTTTTTACTTTCTTCTTCTAATCTTCAGTATATTCTGTCATTTTGTTTTCTTTTTGTGGCTTATGCATGCTTTATACTTTGTGAGGCATCAAGATATTCATTACGTTGTCATTGCTATATTGTCATTTATGATAATTACGAGTTCTAGTGATAAATTGTTGACCGATGCAGACCTTTGCGTGGGTTTGACCTCGTGAAGGATAGAGACACTGGAAATTCCAAAGGATATGGTTTCTGCGTCTATAAGGTGAATGAAGCTAATAATGTTTTTTACTAAAATTTTAAACATTGTATACCTGTGAAAGCAATTATTAAAATACATTCATGTTGGTACAAAGTCTCAAATTGAAGCTACATCTATGAATATTGAAAACTCTGCCCTTCATTTTCTACCCTTTCCTATATAATATGTTCCTTCTCTGGTGTACATTCACTTTAGGATCCTGCTGCAACGGACATTGCTTGTGCTGCTCTTAATGGCTTAAAAATGGGGGATAAGACTCTAACTGTCCGGCGCGCTACCATGAGGTTGGTGTTCTTGAATAATTTGAACCTGTATCGATATGAAAAGATAACTTTTCTGTAACAACAGCGGCTCTTTGTCAAATTTTGTGGAAAGTTCATTTTGACCTGTTTCATTGCATTGCTTTAATTGGGTCTCTCAGTTGGTAAGCTCCGGGGAAGTCTATTTCCAATTCTCTCAAAATTGTCAGATATATATATTGGTAAAATTAAATTACCAGTATGTATTAGCTTTGACAATGGAGAAGATGATGTATAAAATATTAAGTTCTATACCATTTCAGTGGTTGGGAAAGTTCCGGGCCACATCGATATAGAAAGAGAATTGGCTTATTACTCTCTTCCAAGTTATGAGTTAAGAATCATGGACACTTCTAAGAAAGTGGTGTCGTGTTGGACATGTCCAAACTTGTCTTGTTAGTTTTTAATTTTTTTAGGCCCTAGAAATAATATAACTTCTAGACTTTTAATATAATCATGCTTGGGACACTTGGGGACACATGTTTCCCTCTCTTAGACACACATGAAACACATTACAAGTTTGAACAAAATATCTGGATCAATTGAAAGTACTATTATGCTGTGCTTTTTATTCTCTTTGAATAAAATATGCATATATATGATATATAATAAATATATGCTATATATTTTGTGCATGCCCTCCACACGTCATGCCCCGTATTTTTTGAAATTGTCATATCAGTGTGTTTGCATCATGTCTTGTGTCTGTGCTTCTTAGTTACAAAATTTTTGTGATTGAGCTTTCACAATTGAATAGACAACTTTTAATGGTCTTGGCATTTGACTTGTGTTCTTATTTATTGTCTAAGAAGCTCAAATACGGGCACAGACAGACACAAAGGCGGAGATGGGACACTACGTTTTTTTATTATAAAAAAAATAGGATACGGACATGGGGGAATATAACAAAAGAAAGGGGAAAAAAAATTATTTGCTAATTTTTTATATAAACCAAAAATAATGAGTAATTAACACTAATTCAACATGATAAACCCTCCAATTTGTAATTTAAACATCTTTCAACATCTATACTATGTTATAAAGTGAACACCCAATTTGAACACTTTTTGGAGCTATGTAATGCCTTTTTGGGTTTCCAAAATTGTCCAATAACTGTAACCGTTAGTTGAAGTAGAAGGGCATACATGTTAAAATGATGCATGTTGTTTGCATTGCATGTTTTATTTGATATGACTTTCTGATAAGTCTACTGGGAATTACTTTACTAGGCAATGAGATTTTTTTTGTTCACCTTGTAGTAAATTGGTTGGGATCTTTTGGCTTTCTAAAAGTTATCACCCTCTCCTATATATAGGAATCATTGTAACCATAACATAAATATTAATCAATAATACATAAATTCTTACAATTGATTTAGTGGCATTTTACATTAAGATGATGTCTGTGGCATATGAAGTGTGAAACATCCTTGAAAACTTTTACAAGGTTGTTTGACATGCAAATCCATCTAACATAGCTGACAACTTCATTGTAATTTTTCAGTAATGAGGTGGTAAATGCAAGTCCATTTAACATAGCTGACAACTTCATTGCAATTTTTCAGTAATGAGGTGGTAAACACAGAACATGAAAGTATATTATCTCAGGCACAACAACATATAGCTTTGCAGGTAGGGGATAATGCTATTTTCCCTCCCCTGTTCGATTTCTACCTTTTCATCGCTCATACATTTTTCATTCCTGACTTGTTTTTGTAGAAAATGGTCTTGCAAGCTGGTGGTGTGAATCTTCCTGGAGTAGGGACAGGACCCACAACAACTGCAGAGACTCCAACCAAAGTTCTATGCTTGACTGAGGTATGATTAATAGTAACCTCTGTAGTTCGACTTTTTTCTTCCCCATGCCAACCCCCTTTACTGTAAGTATTGTCTATTCGTGCTAATGGTGTTTCATTTTGGGGTACCATGAAGCTAATTACTGCTGATGAACTGATGGATGATGGAGAGTACGAGGAAATTTTAGAGGACATGAGGGAAGAAGGGGAGAAATTTGGTGAGTGTTTCATCCCATAATAGTTGCTGTTGTGTTTTAAATTTGTGTGTACACTCTAATGTATGCCTTCCATTAAACAATCATCTCTATGAATTAAATAGAAATAAAATGATTTGGACATGTGTTGTACAAAAGTGCTTAGACAAGGACCTGATTACACCATCTTGTTATGTAGACATTGCATTCATAGCAAAAATGCGAGTTCACATCCCACTAGTCATAATATTATTTAAAAATCAGAACATATTCTCACTTGACATGTCAAAAATGGACCTAAAAACTCTAAATATAGTAGAATAAGACTTAGAAAATAAGTGGCAGCCTTTTATTTTAAAAACTAAAATACTTTAATTTAAACAATAAATGCTTATTTAAATAAATAAATAAAAGAAAGAGAAGTTGTGGAAGCATTGAGTTTGACTGACCTGACGCTTGTTATATTATATTAAATCATGTTTATTTCACTAAAATAGCAATAGATAATTCACGGTCCAAGTCACTTTAGCTTTAAACATCCTTAGATGATGAATTATGACATTTTTTGTTCCTGAGAGGAAAAAAAATGAAAAAAAGGTTAAGAATCTGTTGGGTCTGACTAGATCTTATTATATCCTAATTAAACAGCCTGATCACCAACATAACAGCAAATTATGATTAGGTATTGGTTACTTTTGTATTAAACTCTTAGAATTGTATTATGACCTTTTCTTGGAATCTGTCGGACCTGATAGTATCAAAAATTCATGAATTGTAAAACGTGAAACGAATTGTAAATTGTGCAATTCACTATCGATTCTATTACAAAATAGATTTGCCCATAAATTTGCATTGATGTAGGCATGAATCATGAATTTAAGCCTACAACCGATTAATGTTTATGAATCATGATTAAGCAACTATTCAATTATTATTACACATTATGTACTTGAATGAAAGTTGCCATTGTGTTGTGCTCATGTCTACTGCTTCAGGACTTGTATTTACAGCTGATTGTTTCTTTATGAATTCATGGATGTCAATACTGCTAAATATTCTTCTACTTGGGTGAATGTTTAGGAGTCTTGGTGAATGTCATTATTCCCCGCCCGTCACCTAATGGAGGAGAGCAGGTCCCAGGTGTTGGAAAGGTAGATGGATTTCATTCTGTGTAAATGATAGGTTTCTGTTTCGCTTTAGTACATTGAATCCAGAGTTTCTGTTTTCTATATGTATATATTGTTTTTAGCTCAGCATTCTAGGTACATATAATCTTCTGAAAACATCATTAACTTTAATGCTATATTTGGATCTTGGATTTGTCAAAGGAATCGGAAAATGAAAGGGAATCGAAATTACTTGTAGATATTTCATCTTTTAGTAGCATCTAAACAAAAAATGACTATTATTTATTTATTCTTATTTTCTTAACGCAAAAAAGTAGAGAAAATTTTCACTTTACTATATATATATATTTGTGTGTCTTTACCCTTTTCTTCTCCCTGTGCAAGTCCAAAATCCAAATATTAGCGTAAGAAGTGTTCTTTTTCTTCTTTTTTTGGGATAAATAAGTAAATTTTATTGGGAAAGCATCAAGACGATGCAACAAATACAAAAAATCAGTTTTTAAGCTAGCTGACAAGAAAAACAAGGTCCTAAACAAAAACAAAAACCAAAACTACTAACTAAGCAAGTCCTCTACAAAATCTACAAAAGTCAACATATCCGGATCTACTGATACCATAATCCAACTATGAAGCACAATAAACAAACGTCGTTCCAACTAGGGAACTGATTGAGTCACACCCAAAAAGATACGTCTATTCCACTCCAACCAAATCAATCACGTCAAACAATGGCCAACAAGCAACCACGCATTCTGAAGTCTCTTCCCAACCGTTCCCCCAGCCCAACCTTGCAACACCTCCACCATTGAACCCGACTAAACCCAAACCAAACCAAAAATTGCAACAATGAACATCCAAAGACGAGAATCAACCAAGTAGTGAATAAGTAAGTGATTCACCGTTTTCGTATCTCCACAACACATGCAACACCAATTAACTAGAATATAACGTTAGTGGATCAAATTATCAATAGTTAGAATATGCCTTAAAGTTGCTGTCTACACAAAGAACGCAACTTTGGACGAACAACCGACCACCCAAACACACCTTCACGGAAATGGAACACCATCCCCACCCACAAGCAAATGAAAGAAAGAAGACACTAAGAATATCTCTTCGGACTTCGGGCAGCCCTTAATAATTTGTTATTAACAAAATCCCCCCCCCCCCCCCCAAACAAAAAAAACCAAAGCCCGTACAAAAACCCTAGCAAGTCCACTAATTGCCCAACACCCAATCATGCACCTCACGATGCAAGCCAACATTCCAAATCACCACCTACCACTGCACATGCGCATAAGATGCCAGCGTCGCCTCGCGATCAATAGCAATACGAAAGATCAAAGGAAACATCACCTCCAAACCCACCGCTCCATGCCGCCTATCCTTCCAGAACCTGACCCGATCACCCAACCCCACTCGAAAACAAACCCTCTTCCAAAACTTCGCCCATCCTAATCAAATCCACTTCCACAAACTCCACCCATGTATTTGCCTCACCTCACCTGTGCTTCACTCCCCCCACCCCAAACCATACTTAGCCACTACCACTTTCCTCCACAACCACTCCCTTTCCACCACAAACTGCCACAACCACTTCCCTAGAAGAGCTAGATTAAACAGAACTAAACTGTGAATCCTCAACCCCTTTATAGCCTTAGAAACGCAAATTTGATAATGATAATGAAAAGCCTCTTCCCCTATCCTCCCACATAAGAAATCTTTCTACAACTTCTCCAACCGCTTCGTAATTGACATAGGAATCACATGAAGTAACATGAAATAAGTCGGAATATTGGAAAGAATACTTGGTTTGGGAACAAGTTATTTTGGTAATTTTTTGACTTTTTACGAAAAGATGTGTAAAAAAGTAGAGAGAGTGATGTGACAACTTATAGTGACTTTTTGGCTAAAACTTCAAGTTGCCAAACAAGGCCGCATCCTTTTGACAAGTACTACTGCTTCCAACCCGCCAACCGCCACTGAACTTGATCCACCACTCCATCCCATACTCCTTTCACCTTAAAAGAAGCACCCAATGGTAAATCCAAGTAAGATATGGGCAAGGCTGCCACCTTGCATCCCAAAATAGCTGCCAAAACTGGTAGCCGCCCCACCTCACCCACCGGAATCATCTCCGACTTCCCCATCCAAGATTAAGCCATTTTCCTAGTTGTTGATATCATATAAGATTAAGGGTACCTTTTGAATGTTTATTGAACAGTTGCAACTTACATTGAATTTTAGGGTAGAAGTCCATCATCTCAGGTGGATACAATTGAAGAGAAATGGGGGACTACATATTTTCTTCCCATGTGTTCTGTTTAAGGTTTCATAAAGACGACAAAATTCAAGTTTTAAAAAACACATTTTTTTTGTGGTAGCCATAATTCTTGCACACAGGTCCAGTCAAGATTATGAATTTGTACATTGAAGTGTTATGTAAAAAGCAAATGAAACAATAGCATTAACATAACATGTTTGAGACATCCAAATCTGTGCTTGTAGTGTGCATTACTTTCTTCTTTTTAGGTGTTTACCGACTTATGGTTTTGATTGCAGGTGTTCTTGGAGTATTCTGATGCCACTAGTTGTGCCAAGGCAAAGGATTCGCTTAGTGGCCGGAAATTTGGGGGCAATGTTGTGACTGCTGTGTATTATGCTGAAGACAAATTTTACGATAGAGACTATAGTGCTTAAGCTCTTTTCATTATTATTATTACTCATCTTACTATAGAGTTTTAGAAGGTTATTGCTGCGTGTTGTATGAATAGCAGCTTTCACTTTACCCGTTCATTTATAAACTCGTATATTTGATTCTTTCAACTATAAAAATGTGTAACTTTTTATATCTGCAGACCACCTCCACAATGGGTGTATTTATACAATTTTCATAATTAAAGGAGTCAATATGTATTGATTCATAAATGAAAGATAAAGTGATATTCGTTAATAGTTGAGGGCTCTTCAACTCTTTCTTTTTTTTTTTTTTTTTTTTACAACATAGGTGGAAAAGGAGAATAATTTTTATTATTTTTCATTTCTTTTTCTGGTCAATTGAATGCAGTCTTTGAATAAAAAATGTGTTTGGAAAACATGCTGTGAAGGCCTTTTCTGTTTACAATTTCAGTATGTATTTCTCTATGCTAGATAGCACTGCTAATACGGTACATGGACTATTCTTTTATCTGCAAATTAAGGTTGTATTTGAATTATGAATTTTGGTAGGGATTTGAAAAGGAAAATGAAAATTGTTAGTGAAATGTTATTATATTTTATTTGTTTATTTCTATTTTCCTTTTCAAATTTTTACATAAATCTATGATTCAAATACAACTTAAAAGGTAAACATACAAATTAAAATGATAAGAACCAAATTGACATAGAAAAAAAAAATATATTTGTATTTTATTATAAATTGTTAACTTCTTTGGGAGTCCGTTTAATTTAAAAGTACTTATAAGTTAAAGTTGTTTATTTGTTTAAATTTTTTTTTGATTAAATGGTGTTTAGTTACAATTTCAAATCATAACTATTTGATTTTTTTCAATTTATTTGAACAAAAAAGTGAGAGTTTCATTTTAATAAGAGTTTTTTTTTTTTTTGTTAAAAAAAAAAAAAAAAAAAAACCATTTGTCACGAATTGTAACTTTTTGCCTGCATAATGAAAGTAAAATAAAATTATGTTACAATTTATTTAAATTGTTGTTAATAGTTCTAACCTTTTTAAAGACTCTTATTCCTCACCCAAGTCACCAATAGCTCCGACTAGTACTTTTATTAATACATATTTGGAATGAGGGTGCCAGGTGAAAGTATGGCCTTGTTTGGGAAATGGATTTAGGATTTATTTATTTATTTTTTTTTTGGGGTGGGGGGACTAAAATCTATAACAACACAAAATAAGTTAAAATAAAGGGATTTTTTTTAAGGTCTTTGGTATTAAGATTTTATAGTATAAAAGACACTAAATATTTTCATAATGTCTAAGATCCCTCAACATTGATTCAGAGAAATTTCTCTGCAGAGAAATTTTGAAATTTCTCTGGACTTTGGAATTTCTCTCCAGAGAAATTCTGGATTCTCTGTGTTTTAACCAAATTTCTCTGGACTTTAGAATTTCTCTACAGAGAAATTTTGAATTTCTCTGGATTCTCAGTTTGTGTTTTAACCAAATTTTTCTGGACTTCGGAATTTCTCTGGATTCTCTGTAAGTGAAGAAAACTGCTTTTCAGCTTCGTCCTTTATTCTATAGTCCAAGTTCGAAGTTGTGGGAATCTTGCCTCCTGCGAAATCATGTATGAAAGAAAACAATATATACGCGTTACTAATTACACCACATTTGTAGGAATATATGCATCTAATCTTATCTCACAATAATAATATACTTCTTGAAATCAGGTTAAACACACAGTCATGCACCACCACTCAATTCACTTCTGAAACCGCCATGAACTACAAGAAAATTAATTGTGGCATAAGAGGGATTGCCACCCAACTCACCTGCTCATATGGAGGATCCTTGTGTGCTGGTATCAACCGAGAAACAAAATATCGAGCCCGAGAGCTCCCCTACTCTCACAAAACCAGTCTCCTTCAGATTTTCATTTTAATTCTCAAGATCGAGAATGGAGAAACGGAGTTCCGAATTTGAAGAGGGAGAAGTTTCGAGTGAGAGATAGAAAATAAAATTGAGGGACCTTAGACATCATTAAATAAAATTGTGGATCTCTTCCATTACTAAATATGGGAGAGGGACCTCAGACTAATTTTTTCTTAAAATAATCAATAACATAAAATGTCATATCAAATTCATAATCATTTTACTTTTTCTCTCACAAACATCAAATTTAACTACAAAAAAATTTAACTATATTTCCAAATACAAAAATTTTAATTCATTAAAATAACAAAAAATTAAAATAATTTATTAAAATAATCAACTTCCCAACCGAGGCTTATGTTATAAACAGGGGCGATGATAAAAAAAAAAGTGGATTATGGCGGGGATTAAAAAAAAAAAGAAACAATTTTGGTAGGTCTGGTTCATTAAAGTAAGGGAGTCAAAGAAAAAATGTGAAGGCAACTAGCAACCTTTCTGATCTAACTAAACAAGTTTTAACTTATTTTTCTTCACCAAATATAGAATGGCAAATTACACTTTATTCCCTATATGTTTAATTATTTTCTTACTTTAGTCTTTAAAGTTTTTTTTTTTTTTTTTTAACTCTTCTTGATTCAAGTCTTTTTTAATTTACTCTTAAAACTAACTTCTATTTAAAATTAGACAGAAAATGTTATGTTAGCTGCCACATAATATAAAAACATATTATTATATTAGAATTTGAATTTGTGTAAGAAGTGTGAATTATATATAATATAATATTTTTATATTACGTGATAGTTAATATGTCGCTTTCTATCAAATTTTGGATATAAATTAGCTTTTGGAATAAAATAAGAACGATCGCGCTACGTAGCTCGAAAACGGAGCCCAAATGGCTCGATTTTTTTTTTAATTCTTTTTCTTTCTTCATTCTTTCTCTTCTTCCTTCCCTTTTTGTTGACTCACAGCCGTCTCTCTCTCTCTCTCTTTCCTTCTTTCTCTGCTTCCTTCCCTTTCTTTTTCCTTGTGGGTTTGTTGAATCAAAATCAAAACACACAAAATCAACACACTTTGCAAAATCAAAATTAAAAAAAAAAAAAAATCAAAGAGTTTGCAAAATAACCCAAAAAATCACAAAAAAAATAAAAAATCAAAACAAATCAAAACAACCACAGTCGAAGAGTCCGAAGATCAAGCTTCGTCCTCTCCGTCCTTGGCGGATCAAGCTTCCCTTTCCGTTCATGGCGGATCGAGCTTCACAGATCTGGAGTTTCGGATTTCAGAAATCAGGATGATTGGAGTAGGAATTGTTTGTAGAGAGAAAGGAGTTTTGAGGGTGATGAATTGCAGATTTGAGAAAGAAGAAAGGAAGGCACATCGAAGATGGAGCGAGACACTTTCCATTTGGTCTCTCCGGCGTCCTCTCTTCCTCTTCCTCCTCCTCCTCCTCTTCCTTCTCCATTTCTCTCTCTCTCTGTTTGTTTGGGTTTGGAGTGGAAGGGAAAGAAAGAAAGCAAGAAAGGAAAGGAAAAAAAAAGTCAAACGACGTCGTTTCCGAAATCGAGCCATTCGGGACAAATGAATTTCGTGCTACGAAACATTTTCCAATTAAGAAAGACTTGAAACATGGAGAGGAGACAAATGTAAGAGTCAAAGTGAAAAAACAACTAACTATAAAAAGAACAAAGTGCAATTTACCGCCTAAAAATTATACCAAACATATTCACAGTTCATTTTAATATATTGATGTGTGATGGAAGGGACTTAAACCTCATACCATTGATATGATAAATAACATTTTTACCACTTAAATAGTAGATACTATAGCCATGTTGGGTTTGGTTTTCAAAATCTAAAAATTTAAAATTAATTTAGTGAAAGAAATAAAAAAAAATCAAAATAATTATCGTTTTTACACTATTTTATCTTTTGAAAGGTCAAAAATAATTTATAAAAATTTAAAAATAATTTTTTGATATTTATTTTTACTAAATTAGACTTACATGTTTTTAATTTAAAATCAAATTTTATATTTTACAAATTTAATAGCATATTTATCATAAAAAGAGGTTTATCTCATATTTTGAGTCGATGGATTCCACAGACTCCTCAAGTTCTATCACGTATAAATATAAGCAATATTGATTGATAGCTCGAATTTGAGTTTGTCCGAATAGCCTAAATTTTGGCTTGTCGGTCGTCCAGCTAATCATTCGGTAAAAGAAGATGATAACTGCAGTCGACAAAGATAACAACCGCAGCAGATAAGTGTTGCATTGGTCGTCCAGCGCAGTCGTTCAAACATTTGACTGGCAAATATAAATTTGAGTTTTCATTTGGGTTTGTTTGGGAAGTGAGTTGGTTTTTTTACTTTTTTGACTATCTCAGCCTAGGACTAAAAAGTCTAGTTTAAGAAGAACTTTTGACTTTTTTAACTTTTTATGAGAAAAAAGAATATAATGATTATGGTTAGATGTAATGTTTTGTCTTATTAGATTAAAAAATTTATTTTATTTTTTGTGACTATTTTAACCAAAAAAGCAGAACTTTTTTCTTTCCAAACGGAGCCAAACTCAAATTTAAGCTCCCAATCATCTTTCAAACATGGGAGAGAAGTTCAATTGTATTTCAAATCAAAATTGCTTTAGAACTCTAAAAGAACACCTCTAAACTTAGCATTAAATTGTCTTCTTCTAGCCAATGTTTTGTCTTTTTCTGTTTTTTTTTTTTTTTTTTACTAATTGGTTGCCAGCTCAGTAGAGTTGCTATTAGAGCAGCTCTACCAGAGCTCCCAATGGCTGCTGATTTCAAATACCCTAATATCAGTTATATGGTGAGTTATGTCTTAAATTCATTTGTTTTTTTTTTTTTAAATCCATGAATTTTCAATTTTTTCAAATTCATTTCAAATTTAAATCACATCTTAAATTTCAATATCAACAAGTAAACAAAACCACATTTGGGTTCAGAAGAAGCCAGAAGTCTAGAGAGAGAAAGCCCTAGAGAGAGAGAGATGAACAACGGAGCGGGAAACGAAGACAAGGGTTTGCTATGGAGGCTTCCAGTCATAAAATCGAAGGAATTAGGTAAGCTAGGACCTGCCTTCGGAATCGGCGCCGGCTGTGGTGTCGGCCTCGGCATCGGCCTCATCGGCGGCACAGGATTCGGCCCCGGAATCCCCGGCTTACAACTCGGTTTCGGACTCGGAGCTGGATGTGGAGTCGGCCTAGGGTTCGGCTATGGAATGGGCAGAGGCATTGCTTATGATGATAGTCGGAGATACTCTAATGTCGGCAAGTTTTTCAACGGGAAAGCAAATCTTCATTCGAATCTTCCTTCTCAGGATGAGATTGGTGCCCTAATTGATGAACTTGTGATGAACACCAAGAAGCTAATCAAAGCCACTTCCACAGAGGTTGATAAGTGGAGGAGGTTCTGAATTTTGATGTATTTGTGTTTTTAGGGTTTATATGTTTAAGATCCAAACACAATCTTATTATACCTTTACAAAAATATGTTTGTGTGAATTGTTCTGAGTTTGTTGAATTCCATCTACTGTGTTTGAATCTTTGATTTGAGTATGTATTTTTTTTTTTTCTTTTTGTTTAATTTTCTCAACAAATGCTTACTCAAACACAGAATTGTAGTTTTATAGATAAAAGCCCTGTTTGGTAGAGCTGTGGGAAAGTGCTTATAGCTTATGCCTAAACAGCTTATAGCTTATAACTAAACAGCTTATAGCTTATAACTTTCAGCTTAAGCTGATTTCCAGCTTATTCTTAAAGCATCTCCTGCCCCACTCAAAGAATAAGCTGTTTTCTGACTTCCACAAAGCTATAAGTTATAAGTTATAAGTTAAACCAAACACATCAAAATAGCTTAAATTAAGCTGAAATAAGCTGAAATTAAGCTGTACCAAACAGGGCCAAAGAGCTATACAAAAGCGTGTATGTATGTATGTTCAAATTGTTTCTTGATGTGTTGTGTTTTGGAGTGTAGAATTACATCTATGTTTAAATTTTTGAGTATGATTTTGTCACTTTTTATGTTTGGTAGTAAAGGAAAAACAAGGGGGCACATTTACCTTTACCCCCTTCAACTATCATCATTTTTCACATTAGCCCTTCAAATTAAAAATTGATACAATCAATATCCCTTTCAACTTTTGAAATTTTTTAATTTAACTCTTATTTTTCTATTTTATTGGCAAAATTAATGAAAAATGTGCATGTAATATGAACATTTCATATTTATGATGAAAATATTTTTTAAAAATGTCATAAATATGATATGTGTATATTATATGTATTTTTTAGGTCAATTTTGTTAACATAATGAAAATATAAGAGTTTGATTGAAATTTTTCAGAAGATGAATGGGGTGAAAAATAGTGGTAATTGAGAGGAATAAAATATAATATGTCCAAAAAAAAAAAATAGTAGAAAGTGAAAGTGAAAGAAAAGTAGAAAAGCACTTGATTAGAATGAAATTTCAATTATAGATAAAACCTTGCATGGATAAATTGTGTCTTCTTACAATTTTTTTTTTTTACAAGAAATTCGAAAGTTACAAATAATGTCATTTTTTTGTTTTTTGTTTTTTGGGATAGTTTCTACACTTTTCATGCCAAACAAACTCAAGAATTCTCTTTCATTCCTTTTCTACTATTTTTACTCTTTTATTTTGAGGAATTACACGCTAAACAAACTAAACCTTTCAATTTTTGTTTACAATTTTTTATTCAAAATCAAAATTATTATTATTATTATTATTATTTTTATATATATACAAAAGCATGTATGAATTAGCAAGTATGTTGTTTCTAATGCAAATGTTTTGAGTGAATTAGGTTACCATATTGTCACGAACCGACTTATTGGGGATGTGAGTTCTACACTAAACATCTTGCAAACGAATTAGTTTGTGAGCGGCAAAGTAGACAAGGTAGATCCCTATCACATCTCCTGAGTTGGTCTTTGGGCATAATTCACAGGATATGTAGTATCACTCGTGGAGCTGGCTTCTCGGGAGGATGACAAGCGCCCAGTCCGTAACAACTGGTATCAGAGCTAGCCTAGGGGCACTGTAATGGGGACGGTACGTGGGACTTATACCAAGCACCTTCATTATGAGGTCCGCACCAAGGGTGGTGTTCGCACGAGGCGGGTTCCCATAGGTAGGGGAACGGACAAGTATGAAAACAAGCAGGGTAATGTCCCCCTGACGAAGGCGTCAAGGACTGGCGGTGGTAGCATATCACATACCGACTCATTGGGGAAGCGAGTTCTACACCAAGCACCTTACATGCGCATTAGTTTGTGAGTGGCAAGGCAAACATGGTAGATCCCTATCGCATCTCCTGGGTTGATCCTTAAGCATAATTCACGTAGTATGCAGTACCACTTGTGGAGCCGGCTTCTCGGTAGGATGACAAGCGTCCAGTCCGTGACAATATGCTCTCATTTCCAATGAAATAAAAATAACAAATGGTTGCTATATTATATGCTCAAGTTGTAATTTATTCTTGTTAATCTACAAGACTAAAGTGTTTGTTTAGGTCAAAGTCCATACCTTTCTTGTTAAGGAACTCATCTACCTTCATGATTATAAAAGGACTCAAAAAAACTTACAAATAAATCAAAAAGTTTATCAATTTTAATAAATTAAAAGTTTTTTTTTTAATGAATTTGTAAATATTTTGTAGAAATATCACTTATTTACAAGTTTCCAACCATTAAATTTTGAGAAAATTATCGGAAAATCCTGTTTGGCGAACATTTGCTGTGTTTGGTCCTACGTTTGTTTTTTTACTCTATTTAGTCCTATGTGATCCTGTTAGTTGTGCAATCAAATCCTTCTTTGGATTGTTTATGATTTTGGCTGGACGGTTTTACCCATATGTAGTCTACTGATGGGGTTTATTAAGGAAACACGTATCCCACATTTTTTAGGGGATTAGGATATATGCGACGCAAGATGGAGATGGCAGCCATGTTTCAATCTTCAACAAACCACCATTGCTGAAAGGAGAATAGAGTTTTGTTGTGTGAACGCCGTCGTTGGCTGCCAGGAACGGTACGTACTTCATACCACCATTTTTTCTATACTTCATGATTGTTTGTGTAATTGCAATTTCAAGGTGTGTCCATTTTTGTTGGAGATTGATGGAGGGACGGGGAAATCCGTGGTTTTGGGGGGGGCCAAAAAACACATTCTGTTGCCGTTAGGGGTCTTTCACGATTTACTATTTCGCAGTTATGTTTCCTCCTAGTTACACATTGTCGACTTCCCAGTGTTATACGTTTGGTCATTTTGGCATGTAACACATAAAACACCTTTCACCCCTGTACCTATGTACTTCATGAATGTGTACCCATATGTGGTTTGGTTGCACTGATGTCGTGCCGATGTGTCAATGATGGATGCATTTGTGTCTTAATGGTTGATAGGTGTGCCTAATTCACTATAATTGTCCTCGCAACATAAAAAACATGAAGTATTACACCACAGACCACCGTTTGACGTATTACATAAAACAAAATTATTGCTGTTATTGGTTCTCATGTTCGTGCACTTCATTGCAGGTATGGAATGTAGTCTGATGTTGCTGTGTTCACACCGGAGTACGAACGTTGCGTACAATATGGAACCTTCGTTTGTGTTTGTGGATCTGGGGTTGGTTTTGTTATCTCGAAATTTAAGGAATTGACACTTTCAAACGTAGCATTGTTTTATAACATTCCCCGCTTTGACAACTTCATGTTGCAGAATGACGTGGACATGCAGAACATGGTGTGCCTCGCTTTGTCTTTCCATTTGCAACATGTAGTTGTCATTATCCACAAGAAGCTGAGGTAGTTAACGCAATTGAATCCGATGCGCGTTACATAACGAACGAACCTGCGCCACCCCAGTGTAGGGTGACGCGCCCATTGGATTTTGATGATGACATTGACTTGCTACCAGATTTTTGTCCTCATACTGAGAAGGTGCTGCTGACTGCCCCATGGGCCAACGGACTCACTCACATTGGTTAGTATTTCGAAGGAGATGCACAACTATTCCGGTTTGTGCTTTGCAAATATGCCGTGGAGTATGGCTTCCAGTACAAATATTTGAAGAATGATTCCATTCGGGTGACAGCTGTTTGTGCTGTGAAGGATACAAAAGGTTGCATGTGGTATGTCCACACGCGGGTGTTAGTTGCTAACGATTTCTTCTACCTTCACAAATGGAATAGTGAGCACTCATGTGGTGTTGCAATTCGTATATCTAAGCACCTAAGGGTGGGGTCAAAATTGGTTGCTGATATTGTGTCATCACGTGTCCGTGCCAGGCCACTCACACGCCTTACCAATGTCATGTTAGATTTGAAGGATGACTAAAGATTGGACATTACGTACCGTCTTGCATGGTTAGGTGTTGAGAAAGTGAGAGGCGAACGGGTTTGGCACACATTCAATATCGTTTGACCAGTTGTGACGGTATACCAACGCCGTAACGGAGTACAACCCCGGAAGCTACACTAATCTTGACTATGATGTCAACACGCAGCATTTCCTCCGGTACTTCATATTATTCAAGGCATGTATTAACGGTTTCCAACATTGTCGACCGTTACTATTCCTCGATGCCACTTTCCTCAAAGAGAGGTTCAAAAGGTTTTTGCTTGCTGCCACTGCAAAAGATAAAAACACAGGTACGTTACAACCTCCACACAAATAACAAAAGGCAATATCCCAAGCACGCCCACCCTATCAACGAAAACCACATTCTGCAATACCATTTGTACATTACAATTTAAATCTTACCATTAATTCACTTACCCCTTATCCCATGCACAATGTGTAAATAGGTTTGTTCCCTTTGGCATATGTAATTGTGGACTTCGAAAACATGGCAAACTGGGCGTGGTTTTTGCAAAACATATCCAACGTGTTAGTTGGGGGAAGGCCATTAACATTTGTTTCGAATCGAAATGCGAGGCTGCTTGAGGTGATGCCTACTATTTTCCCAGACGCACACCATACGTTCTGTCTCCAACACTTGCAACGCAACTTGAAAGACAAAATGCGATATATGAACAATGTGCATCGTGATGGATTGGTAACCAAATTTCGGTCTTGTGCGTAGGCACCAACTGTTCTCGCATTCAATCAGAAACTAGAAAAATTCCAGAAATCTAGTTGTAGCTCGACTTTTTCACGCCCCATTTCAGAAGGCGAAATAAGCCCTACAGTTCGGACTCCCGCGGTTCTGAATCTAATCTCACAAGTGCAATGTGAAATAGATAATCACCAAAGAGTCCAAATCTAGCAAATCTTTTGAAAAATCGATTTTGAATTAAATTGCTACAAATAGACTGCTTTTCCAGATACAGAGTCGCCACCTAAATATTTTAAAAAATTTAGGAAACCCAGGACTCATGCCAAAGGCCACGTGTCCGTCATCACCAAAATTGTCTCGGCTCAAGAACTTAAATACGAGAGGGGACGGTTATGAATGAATTTGAGCACCCCCGCTCACCCGATCAAAGATCGGCCTCTACTAATCATGCTATGAATCTTATGTACATTATATGCTCTTGTTTCAGTT